CAACAAACACAAATCAATCTATAATAATTAAACAAAAAAAATTATCAACAATAACAAGAGAAAATTGTAACATCTTAACATAATTCAAGGTTATTATAGAACTAAATACAACTAAATAGAGATCCTAAGGAAATGAAAGACCATCAAAATAAAAAAACAATAAAAATGATTAGTTTTAAGAAATAGTCTTATGTGTTAAAAGAACTCCTAAATTAATTAAGAATTCTCTCACGAATACTAAAAGTTGATCCAGAAGCTATTGTAAACACGATAAAAATATACTGAACAACTTTTGATAAAATTATTTATTTAAATTCATTTACTTTCCACCAAATCGAATGAGAAAAATGATAGATGGAAAGCAAAATGAATTTTAAAGTAGTTTTCCAATCAACAAAAGTATAGAAATTCCGAGTTTCAAAAAATTGATTTAAGAATACTTAGAAAGCAATATGCTTTAAAATTAAGCATTGAACGATAAAACGATAGTGTTAGGATGACTCTAAAAGTAAGGGTTATGATAGATTGATAGAACGATAGCGTTAGGATACGTTCCTGTAAGGATATGACTAAGGTACATTCATGTAACGATATGATTATGATAGATATAAGAATGTTAAGGCTATTGATAAGTTAGGAAGCGATATGACAAGAAAATGTTTAAGATATGATATGATTATGATATGACATATGAATGACGGATATATATATATATACATATACATATATTTTGTGATTTGATATGAAAATGATATGAAATATGTTATGGTACGAGATATGTGATAATTGACATGTTTATGATATGATATATTGTGATGCAATATGTTATGGTATGATATGTAAATGATGAAAATTGTTATATCTGGAAGCATGGAATGCTATGATATAATATATTTATGTAATTTGAATGATATGATGTGATTGACATGCAAAACGACGAACTAGCATGAAATACAATTTCGACATATGCATAAAAGATATGTGAAATGATATGAGAAATGATATGATATGTACGGAATGCTAGCCGGGTTGTATTAAATGATAATAAAAATAGAAAAATGTTGGGACCTCATTTCTTATTGTGTGTTCATGCATTGGGGATACCCCTTACCCTTCATGATAGTACAGACGTGTACGTTACGAGGCAGAAAAACAATCATTATGGTTATCATAATGCTACGATTACCAAGCAGAAAAACATTCATTATGTTTATCATAATGCTACGACTGTTAGGCAGGAAAACAAACATTATGTTTAACCTAATTTTGTCGTGCTGGTTACTAGTTCTAACGGTGTCCAGTTTAAGTAGATCCTAGAGTATGCTCGCACGACAAGGAAAGTGGCCCAGCCGTGTGCGAACTGACTGGTGAGTCCATGCTCGCACGTATGGGCTGTGTGTAGAGTATGTGGTACACGTCTAAGTTACTCGTTAGGATAGTACCGAAGGAAAATAGACTGAAAAGAGAGGTCATTACATTCGCATGTTCTTGCATTTAAAGCCCCAATAGTGGGGTGACTTACTAATTATTTATTTAAATACTTAAGTCACTTATTTTTCAGGTTAAGGCAAGACATTCATGTACGACTGACGAGACATCGCAACTTGAGACCATGGAACATGCATAGGGTAATCGTATTAATTTTCTTAGACTTAGGCTAGAATAGGATGTCTTTAATTTAAAAATTTATTTATTTTGTTTAGTCTTTTGTTGTGTATCTTTTAAAGGTGTTTTCAAACCACATAAGTCAATGGCTGTGTTTTAAGATGAACGTGACGGTTTATGAAAGTTCAAATGAATTATTTCTGCATTCAATGATCATGGTATGTATACAGCGACGACCTTAAATTAAGTAGAAAATTACATGTCGTTACACGTTTAATAGATAACATCTATTTAGCATGCATTTTCTAAGCATTCAATGTGATATACTAGAATTTTAACCTCATATTCTCCATCAAAATTAATTAACCATCTCCTAGAATATTGGGTATCTAAATGGGAGGATTTTTATCTAAATTTGTCCAGCCTTATATGGGTGTTTAAATTATATCAAAATAGAGTTTATACATAATTCTTTAGATAAAAATTGAGATTTACCTTATATGGAAGGTAAATCTCAATTTTTATTTAAAATTTTAGAAGATTATACTTTTGTTGTTTTAGAAATCAAGGGTAATATTCATGGAGACTCCTCCCCCAAATATCTCTCCTCAATTCAATACCTACTGTGACTGACTATTAGACAATTTTGCTAAAAAGAAAAAAAAACAAAAAATAGTAAATTTCATAAAAGAGATATTGTTATTCTTTTAAAAAGAAAATGAAACCAAACACTAAAAGTATAATTTATTCTAACTTTTATAATAAGGTTTGTTTACCTTTTATTCAAAAGTTCCTGCCTATGAAGATTAACATTATATAATTTAATAATCATGGACATAAATTGTAACACCCGATCTCCGATTGAAAAGATGTGTCTTCTCATTGATATTGATATTTTTTAAATAGGATACAAGCTAGCAACAAATGAGGAAAATATAAAATAATTAAATACTGAAAATAAAATAAAATATACGGTAAATCAAATCATCAATAAAGAATATTAAGATATAATATTTAAGATATATTTTATAAATAATATATACTCTAAATATTATATCTCAATAAACCGAAAACCTAATTTTTTTTCTAAGTTAAATTTCCGGATTTCATTTAGGGACAGAATTTTGAGATGGGGTAGAAAGAGAAAAAATTTTAGAAATAGAAAAATATAAAAAAAAAAATGGTGGAAAATTAGAAAAATGGTCAAGGTCAACCCCAGTCGAGATCTTTTCAAAAATTAGAAAAATAGCCACAAGGAGTTCGATTCCAGTCGAGATCTCTTAAAAAATCCTTCACAGAACCTATAGAAAGCATTCTACACCATTGAATCGTCCAAAACTGTCAAGGAACGAAGAAAATCCATATGTAAGTTCTTGAATCGTGTTTTCAGATTTTCCTCAGATCTGTGAGAAATATTGAGCATTAAATTTTGAAATTTGAGCATATTAATCTAGAGAGGATTTGGCTCATAATCCGTGAAGGAAGTCCTGATCGATTAAGATTGAAAATAGTAGTTCTGGAGTTCGTCAAAGAATGTACGTATTGATGTTTCTTGATAACTTTGGACTGGGCTAATTATCACCATGATTAGAAATAAATTACAAGAAAAATACCTACTTGTAGACAAATATAAACTCTACAAATTTTGTGAAAGAAATAGAAAAATGCAAAGAAAATGGTAAAATCGCAGAGTTGAGAGGAAGAAGACGAACGGCAGAGGGACGCATGTCAGGCAGGGAGAGGTCTGCGCGTCGCCGGAAATGAGGACACGTGTCACGGGTGCATTGATTTATAAAAGATTAGGAAAATACTACGTCGGGTAGGATTAGAAGACTGATACTCACTCCAGACACGAGAACTCGCGAACGACCCGGCCTCCCAACCCGATGCCTTGCCAGCGTCCGCCGCGTGCTTCAAGGATTGAACCCACACCATCAAAGTCGTATGAACCATTCAGTCGGCGACACGTGTTAAGCGCACCACCGCGTCTTCCCTCCCTCATGGGCGTCTGTACGCGAGCGTTTGTGCACGTGGGTGACTCCCTCTAGCACGTGGGCGCGCGAATCATTGCGTGAGACCCCTTTTATCCCGATTTAACTTTCATTTGACTATTTTTCATCTCGATTTTGGTACTCATCTAAATTTAATTTGATTTAAGACCTATCAGCAAACTTTCATGTGATTGGAGCTCCCAATTAGCCGAAATGTAAGCTTCGTAGGGCACGCTCCATTCCGATAAGTAATCGCACAAAATTAGGAAGTAATACTTGTAGGGTGCGCTTGGTTTTGCATGCATGCTAGAGAAAATTACACCTAGGTGGCTAGATCTAATGATTCTCTGTACTTATGAAGTTAAATATATATATATCTTTTGGACTTCTTGCCCTAATGAGATTTCACACTTGATGTTTGTATGCTTGCTGGACTATCTTACTACTGCTTTAATCTGTCATACTATGTTGGCAAACGAGAGAAACTGTGTATCTGTGATCCGGGTGTTGATGAATGTTAATGCTCCGTTTAGCTTGTATGACTGTATGAATTTTTAATCATACATAAGCTCCTGTTGAATGATTGTGTGAACTTATGATATGAATGATAAACTGTAGTGTTGTGTTATGCCTAGGGTGTACTCTTGTAGGGGTTTAGTTAGGTTTAGATGGAGGACCCTCCCGATGTTACGGTCAGTGGTGTCGTGAGGGGCGCTTAGAGGGAGAGACTCTTTAACCCTAGATTGTTATGGACTTGGAACTCTTAATTGAGAGAATCTGGAAGCCAGGGCCCTAAACTCAATAGTTTTAACTACCATTGAGACATAGAGAACTACGTTAGGACCCCGAGGTGTAGAGAGATAATCCCTTAGTCGATAGTAGCTAGTATAGCGTTCGAGTATACTCCACTTCCCTTCCTACTCTAGTGTGGTACTGTTGTGCTAGGCGAGACGCCAGTTAAGGAGGTGTTACTCTTCCCTTCCTACTACGGTATGGCACCGTTGAGCTTGGTGAGACGCTATTAGGGAAGTGTTACTTAGTGATAGATCGACTACTCTGCATGGGGATCCGTCTTATGGTAAGATGTTGATCACGAGGATGGGTCAAGGTCGCTTGCTTGATGAGTACGTCCTGTGGATGGACGTTGACCATGTAGTGACTAATTCTAAATGGGTTGTACTTGGGGTACATGTAGTTATGAGGGAGCACCTCATCCTCAAACACTGAATATCACTTCAAAGGTTAAGTCCTTCCACCCCATACTGTGTACTGAGAGTACCGAGATTCTAGGGCCTAGAGCATAGTTGGTGGTTCTCTCTTAAACTTGGATGCGATTAAGAGCCTACACGTAGGTTGCTTATTGAGTATATTTTTTCACCCCGTTTCCCCTCTTTTTTTTTTTAGATACCGGTCGAGGTGGGTTGTGATGGAGTTAATATAACACATGCGAAAGCAATTTAGATCTTAAGGATCTCTTAGAACATCAATTATAGTTAATAACTAGCATGTTCATAAGTATTAAAACTCAAGGTGTTTGAGTACTAATCTTTCATTTGGAATTGTGTCACTAGCCAATGCCTAATGTCAGTCAGAAATCCCACATCATTCCCAATGAGTAGGATATCGTCAACGTATAACACCAAGAAAACTACAGTAGAGTTGACTATCTTCTTGTAAACACAAGGTTCGTCAACATTCTGTTTAAAGCCATAAGATTTGATCGCAGTATCAAACCTTATATTCCAGGATCGAGATGCTTGCTTCAACCCATAAATGGATCTTTAAAGCTTGCAAACCTTTTGCTCGTGACCCTGTTCAATAAACCCCTCTGGTTGAGCCATATAGATACTCTCCTCAAGATTGTCGTTTAGAAAGGCAGTCTTGACATCCATTTGCCAAATTTCTTAATCATAAAATGTGGCAATGAATAAGAGTATTTTAATCGATTTAAACATAGCAACAGGAGAGAAGGTTTCTTCATAGTCCACCCCCTCTCTTTGAGTATAACTCTTTGCTACAAGTCGAGCTTTAAAGGTCTGTACCTTATCAGTTTGGTCTCGTTTCCTCTTATAGATCAATTTGCAACCCATAGGTTGTACCCCATCTGGTTGATCTACAAGTTCCCAGTATGACTGAATTGAAGTACGTAGAATCCATTTCAAGATTCATGCCTTTGATCCACTAATCTATATCTTCATCATTCATTGTCTGTTCATAGGTCAATGGATCCTCAATGCCATCATCAGGTATGATGACTTGAGTTTCTGCCATACCCAAGTAATGATCGGGTTGAGTTATAACCCTCCCACTTTGTCGAGGCATTCTCAACTCTTGAGAAGAATGTGATTGATCAGAAGTGTCAGCTTGATCAACAATTCTTGTTGTTTTATCAGTAGCTTCTTTAAAAATCTCACTTAATACTAGTTTGTTGTGAGGTTGATGATTTCTTACGTGGTCTTTCTGTAAGAATGTAGCGTTTGTTGATACAAACACTCTATTTTCTTGAGGGTCATAAAACAAACCACCTTCCGTCTCTTTGAGGTATCCTACGAATAGACATAATTTTGAACGACGTTCTAATTTCTTGGGGTTTTGCTGACACATGTGTTGGACATTCCCAAATCCTAAAGTGACATAAACTACCTTTACGCCCTTTCCATAACTCATAAGGTGTTTCTGAAACACTCTTAGAAGGAAACATGTTCAAAATGTATGTAGCAGTCTCCACTGCATATCCCCAAAACGGATCAGGTAATTGCGCGAAACTCATCATAGACCGAACCATGTCTAACAGAGTTTTATTTCTCCTTTGTGATACACCATTTTGTTGAGGCATACCAAGGGCTGAGAGTTGAGACCTTATTCCATGTTCTATCATATAGTCCTGAAATCTTAAGTCCATATACTCTCCACCTCGATCTGATCGAAGTGTTTTAATAGTTTTACCTAATAGATTCTCAACCTCAGTCTTATACTCTCTGAATTTTTCAAAAGCTTCAGACTTGTGATGCATTAGGTAAAGATAGTCTTACCTTGAATAATCATCAATAAAACTGATGAAATATTCATACCCTCCTCGTGCTTTGACATTCATTGGACCACAAAGATCTGTATGCACGAGTTCTAAGGTTTCTTTAGCTCTATAACCTTTTTCGGAAAACGGTCGTTTAGTCATTTTACCCTTAAGACAAGACTCACATGGAGGTAAAGAGTTGTCTTCTAACTCATTTAGAAGTTCTCTTTTAACCAATCTCTCAAGCCTATTGAGATTAATGTGGCCTAGTCTTAAGTGCCAAAGATAGGTATTAGGAGGAATATTTTATCGTTTATTTTGAGTTTCAGCTGTTTTAAAAAACACCTCGGTATTTAAAATAGCTTTTGTTTCGCTCGGTTTTAACATATATAAGTTGTTTTCTAGTTTTGCAGAACAAATATGAATACCTCTTTTGCAAATGAACACTTCATTGATTTCAAAAGATACTTTATACCATTGTTCTAATAAACAAGAGATAGATATTAGATTTCTTTTCATTCCAGGAACAAAAAGTACATTATCTAATATAATTAATTTATCTCCAAAAAATAATTTTAAATTTTCTACCGATCTTGCTGAGACAATCTCTTCTGTTCCAACCCTGAGTGTTATCTCGCCGTCCACAAGCATTCTTTAGGAGCTAGTTTCTTGGAAAAGAGAACAAATATGATTAGTGGCCCTTGAATCTAGTGCCCAAGTTGAGTTATCATACTCTACTAAACATATTTCTACAACGAGTAAATCATATTTACTTTGTTGTATCTTTTCTGCTTTCTTCTCTACAAGGTATTTTGGGCAATTTCTCTTCCAGTGCTCATTTTCATTGCAATGGAAACATTTTCCTTTATCTTCTTTTTGAACCTTGTGTTTGCGGTTAGTAGGAATCTTATTTTTCCCTTTACCCTTCTTCTTCATCAAAACACTTTTAGAAGTTGAAGGTCCAGACTTATTTTTGAAGGACGATCCTCGTAGTAATTTCTTAGAGATAGCAACATTTGCTTCTCCTTTTTGTCCCTTGTTCGTTAAGAGGGACTAATAAGTCTATAGCTCATTGAGAAGAGCAGTCAAGTTATATTCTATCTTGTTCATTATCACATTTGTGTGAGACTGGCTTGACTCTTCCCATCAATGACAACTTCATTTTCTTCTGCCACATTGAAATGGACTATCATGTCCAGGACATGTTCTCTAACAGAGGTCCCTTCCTTCATACTGCAGTTGTAAATGTATTTTATGACGTCATATCTAAGGGAGAAGGATGGTTGTCCAAACATCCCTTTCAGAAATTCCATAATCTCTTTAGTAGTACCCATGACATCGTGTTTCTTAGCCAAAACATCATATATGCTAGCTAAAATGTACACTCGGGCTTTGTCATTTGCCTTTGTTCATCTGTCATATGCATCCCGAACTGTTCGGTTTGCATTTGACCTGGGGTTTGAAGGAAATTCCTCAGTTAAAACAAACCTTAAATCATAAATTACAAGTATTGTGTTTAGGTTTGATTTCCAAGTAGCGTAATTGTCGCCGTTTAATTTCTCAAAAGCGAGTAATTGTACTATTGAGTTTGTCATGCTGTGATATAAAGAAAATTCTATTATTGATTTGACTTAATCGTGTTTAATCCAATCAGGTTTAGCAAATGTAAGAATGTACCCAAAAATTATTAATTTGCAACGATACTTTAGTGAGTTAGAGCAACTGTTATCAAGGGGCAGTCAATCACTCCTTCACTAAACCAAGACATTCTTGACTGAAACACTAATCCCAGAATAACTTTTGTTCCTATTATCGCTATTTTGGTAAACTCTTAGTAATTCTTCATAAGTGTGACCCGCCATTTTCAGACCTCAGAGATCGGTCCCAACAATGCTATCGAATGAAAAAGTCAAAGTTGGGAATGGACTTAAGAAATCCTATCCATTTCTGGAGTTTGCGTTGTTTCGACTCCCATGTTACGACCCTCCGAATGGTAGTTGCTCTAGGACAACATGCAGGCGAAACATGGGAATCTCACGGTGCAACCTAGTGGTGGAAACCAGAAGACGTGTTGATATACTTCCTTCTCTCACTTACTATAAATACTTTCTCGATTCACCTTATTATTAACTCATGCAAATACCTTCCGAATGGAGGACGTTCTCAGGGCAACACAAGGCCGAGCATGAATCTCACGGTGTGAATTTTTTATAGAGTGTAAAAAGAAAACGATGTATCTCAAATTCCTTTTTCCTCCCACTAAGTATTTTAGACGGTTGGGTACACTCATTACTTAGGTATATTCTGGCTAATTAAATATAACTTAAGCCTAGGTGATTTTTCTAAAATTTACATCACTCAAGCATGCTCATAAAACTAGGCTAACTAAGCTCAAGTATTTGTTCGATCTTCAAGTAGTAAGTGTTCCGTAAACCGTCAACTTAAGTACCTCCAGCCTTAGACAAGCTTGAGCCAGGTGAGCTTTCTTGTAACCGCAATTTTACAAGACATCGGCCTATTTTAACTATTGAAATTGATCGTGCTTGGTTCTTAACCCTAAGTGAGCATGCACTTATCTTTATTATAGATTTTAACATCTATCTCGTTTTATGACGTTGAAAATAACCTCTAACATCCATCTAACATGCTTTATATAACAATTATATAATCATCCATTTCATGCAATAATATAACAATTTATATCTATCACTCATGGAACCATAAACATGCATACTATACATTATAACACTTATAACATACTTGGAATGCATGAAACATGCTTAGTCTATGGTGGGATTTTAAATCTATATGACATACTTTATGCATATACATTTTCTATTTAATTAAAACATACATTAATAATGCATATTTAATTACACACACTAAAGTGGATTGGCAAGCAATTAACTAAATTATTACATTAATAATTAAAAATAACTTGAATCGCTCCCGAGGATCACAAACTGGGCGAACCAACCCTTAAAAACGTTGAACCGGACCTCAACGGCAGAAAAAACACCCGAACCTCCTCTTCCAACTTCTTCTTCGGTTCAACTTGCTATTTCTTCCATTTTTGATCAATTACAATCTAAAATGGACTCTAATGACTCCATAAAAATTACAACCATTCTTCACTCATTAAAGCCCACACACATTAGGCTTGTTACAATAATTGTATCAAATGGAAGCATAAAAAAAATAATGCCAAAACCAAAAACATCCACTTTAACCACAAAATTTCATTCATGAAATAGTACCCACCATGCTCAAATTAATGCAAATAAAGTGCCTAAAACTTGCTTTGATACCAATTGATGGAGTTAATATAACACATGCGGAAGCAATTTGGATCTTAGGCACTCTTAGAACATCAATTATAGTAAATAACTAGCATGTTCATAAGTATTAAAACTCAAGGTGTTTAAGTACTAACCTTTTGTAGTTCAAATTCTTTTTTCCCCACGAACCTGTTTCGAACCAACATTAGCATCTTCTCCACTATTCTCCGGCCTTAGAACAGAATTGTGGAATCCGGTGAGTGACTAACTTGGGAGGGATTTAGTATATATGAAGAGAGTGTGAGAATTTTTCTCAAGGTTTTTCCAAGGGAGACCTTCCATGTACCTTGATCACTCTATTTATAAAGTTATATTTGCATGTTAATGCAAATTTGAGATCACCAAATTTTGACACTCAAAATTTCACTCAAATGTTTGGGATTATGTGGCAAGCATGCATGCTTGAGTTAACAAAATTTTGACACCTCAAAATTCCACTAATTCAAACATGGATTTTTCCATTAAATGAAGTCAACATTTTGACTTTCTTCATTTTAATTCAATAATTAATTTGAATAATTAATTTCAAATTAAAATAATATTAAATGATTACTTAACAATTTAATTAATATTTAACATTAAATAAAATGTCAATCCCAATAAATACCAAAACATATTGATTATGAATTCCTATTCGTAATTAAACTATTTAAATCTTATTTAAATATCTCTGATTCTCTCTTTTTGTTTAATTCATTAATTAAAACAAAAATACGGTTAAATATATCATATATATGTAGCGCATATTCCCTAATTTGAATTCGATCACTTCGAACTCACTCGTCACATTGTTCTATGGTTTAGTCCAATATGAGCTAACAGAGGGACCTAATGGACCTATAGATTATGGGCTCCAAAGATCCGAGATTAACGGGCTAAACTCATTAACCTTGTTAACCAACATTTGTCAACTACTAGGACACTCCACTATAGCCTAGTAGTTGCACTCCCCTCATTATAGATATATTTCTGCCCATTTGATATAACCACGATTAGTAAGTCGATCCTTCACAGGTTGTTCGTAACTAGAGATTGGTCAATTTACCATTTTATCCCTCTAGTTACTTCTTGTTCCTTAAGTCTCACTAATCCTCTAATGAATAATTGGTTTGTGGTCCAACCACCAAACCGAATCCCTCTCGGGCCAATGAGAGGGTGGGGCCCCTTGTTCAAGACTTGGAGTAAGTACTTAAGGGAACAACCTCTCTACTATCCCTAAAAGCGGGTATGAGTGAATTCCATCTTACACCCCATGTCCCCAGCTATTCACTCAGTCTTACCCTTGAAATGGAAGGCTCATTGAGTCGGCGAACTCGAGTCACTCTCACCCATAAAAATCTAAGGATAATTCCAAATAAACAGGAGTTCATAGTTAACTCAGGATAATGATCGAGTTATATAGGTCATCGAATGAAAAAATCAGTCTCAACAGTAAACGACATTATAAAGTGAGAGTGATTTTTTTCATGGTTCTATCTTATGCAATACTCATTGCATAGGACGCCCCCACTCACATGTCTCCACATGTAAAATTTAGTGATCACATTGTTTATATCATATATAAAAGTGGGTCACATTTATAGTGTCCCTAGGATAAGGTACTCAGCCTTATCCATGTACTATAGGTTATTTTGACTATATACTTGAACTTGAAACACTCTTATGTCTTTACATATAGTTCAAGTAATCATAATATATCCAGAGTATTCTTAGTTTATTGGATTTAGATGAATGATCATAAAATTCACTTTATTCAATAACGATCTTTACTGAATAAACATCAATAATAACTTTATTGAAAATAGAATATGTTTTTGTTTACAAACTATGAGTTTTAGGATATAAAACCCAACAGGGAGGTGTTAGAGAGCTGCACTGTCACAGAGGGTTGTCGTTCCAGAGCGTCAGTCCGTTGTCGGTCTTTTAGAGTCTTTTGTATTTCATTTTATATTTGTAATTCTTTTTGTAATAATTTGAAACAAAACTTTCTCTCTCTTTTGTTTTAATAAAATGGTATTTTTATCTTTTACCTTACTTTTCTTTCCTTTTCCTTTTTTTTTGTTTATTTGTAATTCCCGATTTTTAATTTGATCTAAGTCTAACTTTATTTAGGACCTATCAACGAACTTTCAAGAGTTTTGGAGCTCTTAATTAGCCAAAAAAATAAGCTTCGAAGGGCACGATTCATTCCCGTAAGTAACCACACGGACAAATTTATGAAGTAATACTTGTGGGTACGCTTGGTTTTGCATGCATGCTAGAGCAAATTATCTCTAGGTGGCTAGATCTAAAGATCCTCTGTACTTAAAAAGTTAAATTTATATTCGTTGGACTTGCGGCCTTTATGAGATTTAGTACTCGATGTTTGTATGCTTACTGGACTATCTTTCTACTACTTTTATTTGTTCATACTATGTGGGTGGACTGGAGGATTTGTGTATATGCGCTCCGGGTGTTGATGGATGATATTTCCCTGTTGAGCTTGTATGGCTGTATGTGTTGTTAATCATACATAAACATATGTTGAATGATTGTGTGAACTTAAGATATGATTGATAAGTTGTAATGTTGAGATATGCCTAGGGTGAACTCTTGTAGGGATTGAGTTGAGTTTAGTTAGGGGACCCTTCTGATGTGACAGTCAATGGTGTCGTGAGCGATGCTTAGAGGGAGAGACCCTTTAACCCTAGACTCTTATGGACTTGGAAGTCTTGATTGATTGATTCTGGAAGCCAAGGCCCCTAACTAAATATTTTTAACTACCCTTGAGATTTAGAGTACCACATTAGAAACCCGAGGTGTAGAGAGGTGATGATAAGCGCCAACAATGTTGGATTTTGCATAGCTAGAGGTTCTTCTAGAGTCCTTGCAAACGTTCACAAATAGGTTAGTGTACGTCCTACCTCCTCGTATACGTAAGCTTCTAAAATATAAATGTAAGCTCTTAACTCCTCGTATACGTCCTACACTTTCGTTGGTGGTTAGTTCCCATTGGATCATCTGACACCTTTGTTAGTATTTCACAAACATAACTAATTTTCAACTATTTGTGAAATACGGCTTAAAATGATCTATTTTACCTTAAACGGGGTCAAAATTAAGTTCGAGAGGGTCAGAGCGGTGCCGAACAGGTCAGAAATAGGTTTTCCATGCCGAATAAGCCACCACGGAGCTAATTGAGTTGCTGGAGCCAAGAGCTTTTTGCGCCAAAAGTTGACATGTAGCACAATCAGGAGGCGATGAGAGTGCAGACGATCTTGGGTTGTCGGGGTGCAGTCACGGGTCTAGGCTAAACTTTGTTGTTGGGCCGCAGTTTGTTTCGGTGGGCCTAGGGTTAAATCATTTGGCCAAGAGGGTTTGGGTTGTAGCTTCGGGTCGCGGGTGACGAATTAGGCCGAGGCGTGGACCGAGCTAGGTCAAGGCAATGACTGTCTTTAGGCCGAGGGGTTTTAGGTCGCTGGTCGAAGCTCGGGTCGGACTTTGTCTCCCTCACCCGATTACCAGAGAGTTTTCTGACAACTCGATCTCTCTCCTCGATCACGTCGTTCCGACATCCTTTTTCCTCATTTTTTCTCCGTTTTCGAGTCTCCTCCTCCAAATCCCGTTTATGGTGTTTGTTTGGTTCGTAAGGGCCTAACACTCTCGGATCTAAGAGTATTCAGAAATCTGACGTTCTTTCTTCCTTACCCGACGGTGTACGACGTGTAAGCAACGTCGAAATCTATCCCCGGTGTGTGTAAAGGTCTCTAGGATTGTTTTTGTTGTGTAAATCAGAGGTTTTGACATGGATTTCGTAAGGTTTGGCTTCGCCGGAGCTTCGTTGGTTCTCTCTCTCTCTCTCTCCATCGTTTTTCTCACTATTTTTCCTTCTTGCAAGTGTCTTGGAAGTGGCTGAATATCGGGTTTGGTTCTGTTGGTCGTGTGTGAACAAAAACTCCGATGTTCACCGAAGTTCTCGGTCTTGCCGACAACCGCAATTTTTTATTATTATTTTATTTTTTATATTTGATCCGTTAATTAATGATTTAAACTAAGATTTTGGGTGGTAAATTTTAACGACCCTATTTTCCTACTGAAATAGAGTCGCTACCATATGCATGGCGTGCCCCTTTTTATGCCAAAACATTCATTTTAAATAGTTCATATACGTCATGGACTTGTACATTAAAAATAAAATCCTTAAACCAAACCAACAACATTTAAGAAATGAAAAATAAACAAACTAATAAAAACTAGAAAGAAAACAATATCCTATACTAATCTAAGATTAATAAGTAAAATAGAAAGACTTAGTGAGTAACTCATTATTGGGCTCATTGAATGCAATCACAGGCAAAATGGGATACCTATCCTTTTATCATAGCATATCATGGCCTTCGGCAACTTTTCCATCCCGTTAAGTTTGAATATATAGTACTTCTCTACACATTTCCCACACATGCGAGCATGGGTCCACTAGGCGAGCTTGCACGCTCCTTAGGCTAGCTTGTTGGACCAACACTCACTAACGGGCTTTTTGTGGAATAATAGAAAGGGAAAGGACCCTCAATACATCATGGTAACCATAATGTCATAAATCATATATCATAGTGGAGAAGTATCACATATCACACAAAAATGCATAAAGTCTCCATACCTTATGGTCATGACATAATATGTGATGCAAAACAAACCTCCAAAACAAACCTCTAATGTCTATAGTAAATACATTAATTATGCCTACATAATTCCTTTTAGTTTCCTATTATATAACTGAGCTTCCATAGCATTTTCTATATTAATTTTCTATTCTATCACTTAGTTTCTATAGCATTTTCTATAGACGTTTATGCATTACAACATCCAAATATCATATGATTTTTATACATCATGGCATGATCATATTATGTCAATTTTCATGCTGATCGATCGTTCCATCCAAGTATTGTTTGTTATAATATTATATTATCTAGGTACACGAATAATAATAATTTCTCATATCTTTCATTTTCCCAATCTCTCGGTTGTACACTCTATTTCTCCCCCTCTATTTTACTTTGTTAGGTTCACAATTATTTTTGCCAATTTTAATCAATTCTTAAATTACATAGACAATAAAAGATCGATTTCATGTCTCTCCCATCTTTTCCATATCTTTGTATTTCCTCTGTTGTTATTTTAACTTCTATTTTTCTTCTCGGTTGTACACTCGGTTTCTCTCCTTTTGTTTTACTTTTGTTAGGTTCATAATTACTAGTCCTGTTTTTATTTTATTATTTTTCTTCTATCAGTTGTACACTTCGTTTTTATTTTATTCTATTTTCCTTCTCTCTGTTGTACCCTTTGTTTCTCTTCATTAAGAGTTTTAATGGATTCTTGAATTACACACAACAAAAGACAAAAGGAATTCCATATCTCTCATTGTTTACTTGTCTCTGTATTTATTCAGTTTTTCTTAAATTTTGTTCACAATTATCTTTCACCAATTTTAAACAATTTTTAAATTATATTGAGAATAAAAGACAAAATTTCATATCTCTCATTTTTTACTTTGTGTGTTTCTCTAGTTTTTTTTTTTATTTGGTTCACCTTTTATCTTTGGCCAATTTTAATCAATTCTTATTTCTTTTTCACTATTTTAATGTTGGATCTTCATTTTCTATAACCAATAAAATGATAACAAAAATCTAAATAATTGATACACTATAAAAGAGAAGAAATTATGAACTTTTCTATTGATCTCCTCTTGTTAAATTGGATCTACTTTTCTTATTCTCTTTCAAGTAAATCAGACTATCTTGTTTCATTTTTTACCAAATTTAAAGCAGAAATACTTTCATTTAAACTTTCATAAAACGTCACCTTCATCTTAAAACACAGCCATTGACGTACGTGGTTTGAAAACACCTTTAAAAGACGACACAACAAAAGACTAAACAAAATAAATAAACATTTAAATTAAAGACATCTCATTCTAGCTTAAGTGTATGAAAATAAATACGACTACCCTATGCATAATTCACGGTCTCAAGTTGGGATGCCGTCGTCAGCTGTACACGAATGTCTTGCATTAACTTGAAACAGAAGTGGCTTAAGTATTTAAATAAATACTCGGTAAGTGACCCCACTATTGTGGCTTTAAATGCAAGAACATATGAATGCAATGACCGGACCTATCTTTTCAGTCTATTTTCCTTCGGTACTTTTTTAACGGGTAACTTGGATGTGTACCATATACTCTACGCACAACCCATACGTGTGAGTATGAACTCACCAGTCAGTTCGCACACTGCTGGGCCATTTTCCTTGTCGTGTGAGCATACTCTAGGAGCTACTTAAACTGGACACCGTTAGAATTAGTAACCATCACGACAACATTAGGTTAAACATAATGTTTGTTTTCCTACCTGACAGTCGTAGCATTATGATAAACATAATGAACGTTTTTCTGCTTGGTCATCGTAGCATTATGATAACCATAATGATTTTTTTCTGCCTCGTAACGTACATGTCCGTACTATCGTGAAGGGTAAGGGGTATCCCCCAATGCACGAGCACACAATAATGCATGAGGTACCAACATTTTTTCATTTTCATTATCATTTAATACAACTCCGCTAGCATGTCGTACATATCATATCATTTCTCATATCATTTCACATATCATTTATCATATCTTTTATGCATACGTCGGAGTTGTATTTTATGTTAGTTCGTTGTTTTGCATGTCAATCACATCATATCATTAAAATTACATAAATATTTCATATCAAAAAATTTTATGCTTCGAGACTGAACAATTTTCATCATGTACACATCATACCATAACATATCGCATCACAAAATATCATATCATAAACATGTCAATTATCACATATCTCACATCATAACTTATTTCATATCATTTTCATATCCATCA